CCCCCCCCCCCGGTCCCGAATAACTTCATTCCTAATTCTATCCAACCTAGTATGCCCACACATCCATCTCAACATCCTCATTTCCGCTACTTTCATCTGCTGGACATGAAAATTTTTAACTTACCAGCACTCTGCCCCGTACTACATAATCGGTCTAACTAAACATATTCACAAGCCGAAAAGGCACAACTTAAAAGTGATCAACTTACAATTTTGGATATTTTTAACTTAGAAATATTTTTGGTATTTACGCGATAACTCTCTACAACCTGGGGAGATCCAAGCATAAATTTCATTTTTCGTCCTAAACTTTGATCTAACTATCCAAATGTCGTTGTCAGTCCCTTCTTTTCTTTTGAAATGATACAAATGTTTAAAACTTCAATTATCACATTTATTTGTTTGGAAGCTCTTTGAATCGCTTGCTCTGATTGTTTGGAAACTTCAATTACAGTCTATTTTAACAGGTGTAATTAGCTCTATAATGAAAATTTAAATTTCCACTGATTGTTTCTTCCACAGTGTTACTTTTTAATCAATAAAATAAAAACAATGCTTTCTCTGATTTTTTGGTTTTGTGGTGAGCTAACCTTTAACGAAATTACAAAAAGAAAAAATTATCATTTAGCCGGCGTAGATTTCAAGATATTGTTATTCATTTACATAAACAAAAAGTAAATTGAAGATTACTCTGTCAAATTATCAACTATAAGCATAACGTCGAACTCAAAGCTTCTACATTTGTTCCTTGCTTAACCATTATCCCTAATAAAATTATTTTTAGTTATAATAATCAATACTCTAAGCCAATTAGCAGTTTCAACTAGGTGGTTCTTTTCTTAATTAGTAACCATGATTCGAATGTTTAAGATGTATTATATGAAAATATTCTAAATCGAGTGAAAGAAGAGAGATTTTCATTAGGGTTCTATGTCTGAGAGAGAGAATCAGGTCTGTTGTTACAATGAAGGATGACCCGATGGGTCTTTCTAGAACCCAATGCCCCTGTTTATATAATGGGCTTCACCTGTGTTCACTAATGAACTGATACAAACAAATGAAACGGGCTACAAATATAAAATGGCCCAAAAATAAAAGAGAAGACTAAATACATAGAACTTTACGATAACAGTGTTTATGTTTGGGCTTAGATGCTAAATAAGCCATTAGCTCAACACCCCACCCCCCTCAAGTTGGAGGGGGGAACCACCTTCAACTTGCCCAGAAGATCATGATGATGAGCACCAGGGAGAGGCTTGGTGAGAACATCTGCCAACCGTTGAGAAGTAGGAACATGAGATAGAGAAATCAACCCATCATAGAGTTTAGTCCGGATGAAGTGACAGTCAACTTCAATATGCTTAGTCCTCTCATGGAAAACTGGATTCCTGGCTATATATAAAGCTGCCTGATTGTCATAAAACACAGAAAAATGAAGAGACACAGAGATACCAAGGTCAGTGAGCAACCTAGAAAACCAAATCAATTCAACAACCACCATACTAAGGGCCCTATACTCAGCCTCAACTGATAACAATGACACAACATGCTACTTTTTGGACTTCCAGCTGATCAGACCCCCCCCCCCCCGTTCCCCAAAAAAAAAATCACACAGAAACCAGTGGCAAATATGCGAATATCAGGGCAGGCTGCCCAATCACTGTCTGAGAAAGCATGTATAGAAAAATCAGGGGAATCTGAATAAAAAAGGCCCAGATCCACAGTGCCCTTAAGATATCTAAGCACATGAAGGGCATTAGACTTGTGAGGAACTCTAAGATATTTCAAGAACTGACTTAAATGTTGAATAGCAAAACAAATATCAGGTCTGGGATGTGTAAGGAAGAGAAGCTTGCCTACTAGACTTTTATACTTGCTAGGAGAAGGAAATAAAGCACTAGAATCAGCATGCAATTTACCATTGAGTTTCAAAGGACAAACCACAGGAGAAACAGCTGCACAATCAAACTGTTGCAGCAAGTCCGACACAAACTTCTTCTGATTAAGGAGAACCCCACCAGGAACACCAGACACTTCAATGCCCAAAAAACAATGTTTTTAATCCTAAATTGTTCATCCAAAAACTATTTGAGTGCAGAAATTTTAGTTGTATCATCTCCAGCTACAATGATATCATCCACATAAACTGCCAAAAGAACTAGACCCTCAGGTTTACCCTTAATGAACAAGGAGTAATCATTAAGGGAATGTGTGTAACCTCTAGAGTATAGGGCTTGAGACAACTTAGCATAGCATTGCCTTGAAGCCTGCCTCAATCCATAAAGGGACCTTTTCAATTTGCACACAAGAGGGGCAGAAGCAGGGGGAGTAGGAACACTAGAGACACTCAACCCTTGGGGCAACTTCATATACACTTCCTCATCCAGGTCACCATGTAAGAAAGCATCGTTGACATCTAGTTGGAAAAGATCCCAGTGTTTCTTAACAGTCACAGAAATTAAACATTTGACAGTAAACATCTTAATGACATGAGAGAACGTTTCTGTGAAATCAACCCCTTCAACCTGTGTATCCCCCCCCCCCCCCCAATGACAAGCCTAGCTTTATATCTTTCAACACTCTCATCAGCCCTGTATTTAATTTTGTAGACCCACTTACAACCTATAGGTTTTTTACCAAGAGGAAGAGGGATAATATCCCAAATGTGAATGGCATCCAATGCTTCAAACTCCTTTCTCATGGCATCCTGCCAGGCTGGGACGGAAGCAGCTTGTGAGTCAGATAGAGGTTCAGATTCTAAGGAGGAAGTAGAAGAGCTGGACCCAGAAAAAGAAGGAAGTAGAAGAGCTGGACCCAGAAAAAGAAGGAAGCTGACACACATAATCCTTGAGGTAAGAAGGAGTGTTATGTTGTCTAGCAGATCTCTTAACTTCAGGTTGTGAGAAGGAGGGAGGAGGAATGTCAGGATCAAAGTTTAGAGTAGAAGGAAAAGGGAAGGAAGTATCAGCTTGTACAGGATCATGAGGGAAGAAATTAGGAGCGGGAGAAGGAATAGAAGGACTGGAAGGGACAGAGATAGGTGTCCCAGCATCCTGGTGATCAGAAAAGGAAAAACTGGAGGTGGAAAAGGAAATGTAGTAGAAGTAGTAAGAGTGGTTGTGGTAGTAGTAGAAGGTGTAGCAAAAGGAAAGCATGTCTCATGGAAGACAACATCCCTGTAGACAAAACATTTCTTAGAGGTTAGATTGTACAACTTCTAACCCTTTTTGGTGAAAGGATACCCTAGGAAAACACATGGAATTGCTCTAGGTTGGAGCTTGTCTCTTAGCGAAATAGGAACAATAGCATAGGCAAGGCAACCAAGTGTTCTCAAATGTGAGTAATTAGGAGGCTTACCATACAACACCTCATAAGGGGATTTATTTTGAAGTATCCTAAATGGAATTCTATTAAGCAAGTATGTAGCAGTCAAAGGACAATCCCC